GGACAAAGGGTGTATACAGAAAATGAGGACAACAGGAGGGTTAAAAAGGTTCTGGTTCTGTCCAGTCCGGTCAGAACCAGTGGTTCGGTTCTGGTGACGAAGCAGAAAAAAAAAAGATTTTTATTTTTCATGATTCAGCTCGAGAGGAAAAAGTTTCAAACTGACTGAAGAAATAAAAACATTTAAAACCCTCTGGTTCTGGACATGTGGTCCGGTCCGGTCCGGATCATCACAGATCAGGACTCTTCTGAGGTTTCTCTTTAAAATAATCCAGGTTTGAATCAAACAACAAACAGCTGAACCAGAACCAGAACCGGTCCAAACCTAACTAGACCAAACTGGTTCTGGTGTCTCTTCATGTAGCCCCTCCCCCCCAACAGAGTAAAAACCTTCAGAGTCCTGCTGCGGGTCGGGTCGGGTCTACTCGGAGTTCTGGTGGACCTGCGGCTCAGGTCTGGACCTTCAGGCGAAGTACATGGTGCTCAGGGTGTTCTGGTGGATCTGCACGGCCCGGGCCAGAACCTGGGGGTCCCTGCCGTTGCTCTGACCCGACACCTGGCTGCCCTCGGCGCTGAGACACAAACACACAGGTGAGAAACAGGAAGAGGCGGGCCGACCGGACCGGGTCGGGACTTTCAAACCGGTCCTCCCTCACCTGTCGTGCTCCTTGTCCACCAGGTGGTAGCGAGCGCGGAACGCCACCAGGTGTGCGTAGTAGGCGGGGGCGGGGATGGAGACGGAGCGCGTGCAGCGCACGTAGGTGTGGCACAGCTGGTAGGTGAGCAGCTGGAAGTCGTCTGCAGAGAAGCCGTTATCGTCCCACAGGACGTGGTAGTGGGACGGACGACTGGTGCCCTGCAGGGGGGACAGGGGGGGGGGACAGGAGCGTTACCTCGTGTTCACCTCAAYGTGGGCGGAGCCGGCGGCCTCACCTGGATCCCTGCGTGGCTGCACAGGTAGAAGTCGAACTCGTAGGGGTGGGTGATGTCCGTGTCCACCGTGGTCCCCGCGGGGACGTTTCCACTGCGACCAACCTGAGGACAGAGCGGGACGTTTAGACACTTCCTGTCAGGTGAGGCTGGTGTTCTGTCCAGGTGAGGACGGCCCACCTGCTCGCTGCGGTCGGAGCAGAACAGACGGGTGTGGTGGCGCTTCTGGACCACGATGTAGGTGATCCCGGGCTGGTAGTCCTTCTCCAGACTGAGACACGCCTCCCTGATGGCCAGGAGCTCGTAGTACAACACCTGGACACACACACACACACACACACACACACACACACACACACACACACACACA